GATAGATTGTATCACCTCATCTCCAAGCAAACTCCATGTAGCTTTAAAGAACCCTGATGTGAGACCATCTGGGCCAGGAGCCTTATTAGGGTTAAGCCTAAACATCATTTTTTTTTATTTCCTCTGAATTTGGGATTGATTGCAAGGACTGAATGACGGCGTTGGGACAGATAAAGCCAGTGAGTTCTTGAAACCATTCAGGGGTCGAGTGAATAAGAAGAGGTTGAAGCTTTGCTGGTCCAAGAATACTTTTGAAATGATTGACTGCAATATTCCCCATAGCAATCGGGTCCGTGATGAAGTCCCCAGAAGGAAGCAGGAAGGATCTGATGGAGTTGAAGTTCATCCTGGTTTAGAACACTCTGAAAAAGTAAGTGGTATTCTGATCCCCTTCTAGAAGCTAGTTTACTCTTGACTTTTGTCTGAAATAGCTTTCCTCTATGGACCTTAGAAAAGCCAACGTTGTAAGAGATCTCTTTCTTCTTGAAATAATTCTTCTGTGGGGTTTTCCAAAGCACGTACCTGCACATCTTGTAACAAACTATTAGCCTCACAAACCCTCACTTGTATATCTGAAAAGTTCTCTCTGTTTAAGTTTTTTAGTACTTTTTCACACATTTTAGCTTCCAACACAGGTTTTTCAAATTAAAGGACAAGCTTCCAGCCTCATTCCACGCTTCAAATACCAACTGATAAAACAATGGATGCTTGGTGAGGTAATTAAAGAAGCGGAAAGGTTTGGTACCATAGACCGGGAGGGGATGGGATAGATCAGTAAGACAAGGAGTGTGGTCGGAGGTTAGGGTAGGGAGGAAGTAAGAGGTACTGTGAGGGAAGGAGTTGAAAAACTGAGCACTGACAAGAAGACGATCCAGCTTTTTAGTGATTGGCATCTCAGGTTGGTGGTTTGACAAGGTATATAAAGGTCCTTGAAAGCGTAGGTCAAAGACACCAATCAGCTGGATGCAATCAGAGAATTCAATCATCTGGGTAGAGACAGTATTAACCTCCCTAAGAGAATGCTCCGAGTGGTGAGTAATCTCATTAAAATCACCACCAATAACCCAAGGGGCTGTCAGGAGAGAGTAGGTTTGATGAATATTTAAGAGGTCCACCCAGAGGTCACACCGTTCAGCTCTGGTATTGGCTGCATACACCGCCGTATAGACAAAAGGGCCACAACCCGGAATCTTGACTTCACAAGTGAGAGTTTGTCGTGTTTGATGTAGTAAAGTAACAGTTGCCGGGTGTTTCCAAATGATGATGATCCTCCCATCAGGGTCAGAGTTATGGTTAGAGGCAAAGCTCCAATTAACGCATATCTTGGCCGTTAGGGAGTTCAAGTTTTGATCTTTTATATGGGTTTCGAGTAGAGCTCCAAAGCCATTGACAAAAAGGGGTATGTTTATCCGAGTCATTTAGACCACGGACATTCCAAAAAAAAAAGTTTAGCACTCATTGAGAAGTGGAAAGCTCTCCCTCAGGTGGGACAGCAGAGAGATTAGACAAAATAGAATAAGTATTAGAGGTTAAAATCGACTGAAGAGTCAAGGGAGACGGGGTGACAAAAGAGGAGGGTTGGTTTGAAAGGGTTAGGTTTATAGAGGGATAAGAGGTAATAAGAGGGTTAGAACGGGATCTTTTTAGTGTAGGCTGATTTAGTGGTTCAGGGGTGAAATCAAAAGAGGGGCTGGAGGGTAATTTAAGTGACTGGGGGATAATAGGAGGGAAAGGAGGGGGGAGGTTTGAGGAGGTTGAAAAGGGGGGGAGTAAGGTATGGTCTAAGGAGGTGGTGACAGGGTTTGAAGGGACATGTAGATCAGTAATTACAAAACTCTTTGGGGCAGTTCCATCAGCTGAGGAAGCCCTTTTGGCTCAATAAATCAAGGTTTGTTTTGCAGGGGATCTCGATGGTTTAGCATCAGTTGGCTTATCAGGTTTCTCTGGGAAAACAGCCTTACTTGCTGTAGCGTTTTTAGAGGCGGAAGGGGCTACGTTAACTGTTGAGTTTTGAGATGGTGTTTCTTTGTTTGCAGGAGCAGCAGGTTTAGAGACAGGAAGAAGAAGACAATTCATTGATATGTGTCCAAGTTCTCTGCAATGACTACAGGAAGGAGGGAGCCATGGATACGTGACCAACACTTCTACAACATCACTAGATTATCTAGTAAACTCTACAACAGTAAGAAGTTCTTTGGTTAAGTCTACCTCGACTTTCACATGAGATATGGTTAAACTGACAAGATTTGTCGTGAATTCATCTGTTTGTTTAGGTTCTCCAACAAGACCAGCAACAAGACTGAGCCTATCTTTGTGGCGCAGATCCAGAGGAACGCCATGAAGATGTGCCCAAATTTGGATAGCCTGAAGAGAGGGAGATTGACTGGAGTGAGCTGGCGTCCATTGTGCCGTGTGAAACATGGAGTCTCCTACATACCAGATACCTTTCTCAAGAATCTTTTGCTTAAGGTAGTCACTAGTAATCCAAACCAGAACTGATCTTGAGATTGGATTATTATGTATTTCTAGGTGTTTGCCTTTACCCGACATGTGGTTAAGAGCACTCTGGATTTGGCTGTAAGGGGGAGGTCTACCTTTGAAATAGCAGACTATAAAGTCCTTGTGGAGATCAGCGCCCTTTTGAAAAACTTCATCAGAGATAAGTATTCTGGGTCTTCTTGCTTTAGAGAACTGTATAGGAGCTAATCTTTTGAGAGTTTTATCCTCAGATAGTCTTATCTTTTCAACTAAGATAGGGTTGGGGTTTAAAGGTCGTTGATTAGGAGTAGGAGGGATGGAGTTTGGGGAAGGCCCCTGGGAGGGAGTGGAAGTTGTGGTAGCAGGAACAGAGTTGGGAAGAGACGGTGACGGGGTTGGGATAGGGCTAGGTGAAGAGGGGTTTTTAAGGACCAATATGGACGGTGGAGGAGGGGAGGAGGAAGGGGAAACAAAGGAGGCAAGTTTGAAAGAGGGGCAGATGCTCGATTAATGAGGAGAGGAGAAGAAGATTTAGGTTGTAAGATGGTGTATTTTTCTGTCTCTGCCAAAATAGCAACAGTAGAAACAGTAGCAGGAACAGTAGTTTTAGATCCAGTTTTCTCAGAGCCAGGAAAATTAGATCTAGTAAGGGGTTTAGCTTGACTTTGAGCCACAGCAGTGTTGCTATCCAGAACCATATCAGAGGTTGAAGAGCACACTTCTGTCACTTGAGAAACAGGGACAGTAGTTGAAAGGCGGGGGTTACGGTGAAGTTTTGGGGATTAGGTAACAGAAGGAGAAAAGGGAGGATAGAGGTCAAGGTCAGGAAGGTCAGGGGGTGAGGAGGGATGGAATTCCGGTTATCACCAGCGGTGAGAGGCAACAGAAGGAGGTCGGAAGAATGTTAGCCACGAGACCAAGGATTTGACATTGGAATCTATGTCAAAGAGAATTTAACTTTTTTCTTTTGTTATTTAGTTCTCTAAATAAATAATAATATGTTGCTGACATAATTAGGGTTCTGCTGAGTTTACGTATATGAATGAGAATTGATTTACTTACTGAGTATATTAAATGGCATATATTATTCTGAAATGAACTACAACAATTTTCCGTTATACTTATGTTAAAACATATTTGTTTTTGTTGTGGTTTTAAAGTTTTAGCTTGGAAAGTATATTATTTTCTTTTTTAAAGACAAGTACATAAATAATATTTTGTTAAACTATGTTTTATGTATAAAAAGTTGTATTTTTATATATATTTTCCTTTTTTTTCTTGACAAAAATATATTCCTTTATTATGTGGTTTGATATATGTTTAAAAGGAAAGTTTTGTCTTAAAAAATATTAAGCTTATATTTTAATTTCTTTTTATGTGAAATCAAATTATTTCAAAAATGTATCCACGTTTTAAAATTCTATAAATATTTTTATATATGTGATTTAGAAACCAGTATAAAAAGGAAATATAAAAACCAGATTCAAGCCTCGCTTCTACAACTATTAGTGTGAGAAAGATTGTTCATTGGATCTCTATGTATTAGCAAACTCCAATTATGAGCTCGGACGCTGTGATAACTTGGGAGGTTGGGAACCAATGCTAGCACCTAGTTTAGAAGGCCCGGGTCTGCAGCTTTTCTACGAGGGAAAATGGGTCATCGCAAAATGTGTTCCTGCTTCCATTGTGATGCATATTGGAGATACGTTGGAGATTCTTAGTAATGGGAAGTATAAGAGTATACTTCATCGTGGGCTGGTGAATAAGGAGAATGTTAGAATCTCTTGGGTTGTGTTTTGCGAGCCACCCAAGGATAAGATCGTTCTTAAGCCGTTTCCGGAGTGAGTGTTACTCCGGTGAAGTTTCCTCCAAGGACATTTGCTCAACATATTGAGCATAAGTTGTTTAGGAACAAACAAGAGGAATTGGTGATTCAGAAAAAAAAGATCAAGTTTGAGTC